TGTATATCTCATATTACAAAATCTCTAATAAAAGTTTCTCCCAAATGTCACTCAATCAATACAAAAAGATACTTAAACTCAATCATACTTAATACTCTTAACCATCTTAGACAACACATTATATGGGATGATTCAAATGTTTCAAAATGACAATATGTACGTGTTATGAATTTAAAAGAGAGTTAATAACCAAAATAAATAAAAATATTAATCAAAATGATTATAAATTAAACGAGCGTTAAAGACAATACATCTTCATGACAATTAACAACACGGGCAACTTTCATGCTTCAAATTTTGGGACTTTATCTATAACAACTCAAACTCACTGTTGGCCGATACTGTCTGCATTTGCCCATTATGTATAGTCGTCAATCGTACAATTTTAAAACGTGTCTACAAGAGAGAGATTTAGGATTTAAGTTTTCAGACAGTTACAAAAATATTTTATTCAGTTCTTCAACAGATATTGGGCTATAAAGAATATTGACTTTGATTTTGACTTTGATTAAAGAGACAAAATCTTTATATCGGCAACATACTAATGGATTATGGGTTTGACTACGTCTCCTAGTTTCAAAATTCAACCATAGTGAAGCAATAATACACCCCAAGTTGATTAATTAATATTTAATAATGAATCAATTTGTTTCCTTGTTCTTACAACTCATCATTCTTACTAATACTTCTCTTTAATCAAAATACTTTCTAACAAAAAGATAATGCCCCAAATTTTGAAATGATGGTGACAACAATGACCAATAAATATTACTAAAAACTTAATCTTTTTTTTTTAAACAGAATCTTTATCAAATGGAAATATTAGTTTATTTAATTAAAAAGGTAATCCAATCACTATGTGTTATATTTATTTATTTCAAGAATGTTTTTCTTTCTTTTATCAATGCAAAATTTAGGTAAAAGATATTTCATGAAATAAATAAATAAATAATGAAGGAAAAGCGAAGATTATAGGATTGATTCTATAAACGACATGTACTTGTTGGAAAATTTATTTATTCGAGGAAAATAATAAAACAAATGACAGGACATGAAAATAGAAATTGCTTTAATTAAATGTACTTTTGGTTGTCATATTTATTAAAAAAAAAAAAAGAAAAAAAAAGAAGGAAAAAAGGGTCTTGGTTCATTTGAAGAACACCCAATTTAGTAATTCCAACAATTAATTGATTAAGTATTAGATTTGTTTTTTTTTTTTAATTTATAAAAAAATGTTTCAAATAAATAATAGTCTCCTTAATTACTTAATATTTTATTTAAAAATTTAAAATTCTACAAAAAAAAAAAAAAAATAAATAAAAAAAAAATAAAACCCCATAAAATCTGATTTTTGTAAAAAGCTTCCAAATTTCCCTTTTTTATCCAAATTTTTTCAGAAGATTTCATCGTATACCCATTTATGAAAAGAAGATGGGCTCTCCTTGATCATGGAGCACAACCCATTTGAGTTTCTTGCCGGCGAGTTCTCACCCCATGTGGCGGCGGCGGCGACGGTGTTTCACAATTAGGGTTTTTTTTTTAATTATATATTTTTTTAGGGCTTTGATGAAAAACCTATAAATTACTTCTTTACTGAGAAATGGAGGATTATAATAATCATCTAAACGAGAACTCAAATCCGAGAGGCAATTTCTTGTACGCATCATCCAATTCTTCATCTGGTAATTATGGAAGATCAAGCAATCCGACGGCTCAGATGGCTGCTCATACGTTTCATCTTCAACAAGGAGCTGATTGTTTTCAAGCCGATCAATCGCACCCGATCGTCAAGTCGGAAGCCAGTACTTCCCACCACCAGCTCCTCAAATTCCACTATCCTTTAGGACAGCCGCCGCCGCCGACGACGACGACGACATGTCGGCCTGACGATGACGGCGGCGTTGATGTTGAAGACATTAAAGCCAAAATCGTGGCTCATCCTCAATATTCCAGCCTCCTTGAAGCCTACATGGAATGTCAGAAGGTAACAACAAAAGAAAAAGAATCGATTTTTCATGAAATTTCAAACGGGCCCCTACCTTTAATTCCCATGTTCTTGTAGGTGGGTGCTCCGCCGCAAGTGGTGGAGCAGCTGGTGGCTGCCCGGCAAGAATTTGAAGCACGGCAGCGATCTTCCATGGTTTCTGGAGATTCCACGAAGGATCCAGAACTTGATCAATTCATGGTGTGTGACAACCAACCATAGCCTCCTAATAGCCTCTACTTTTGTTCTTTTGGTGCTAATTAATAATTTTACTTTAGAATATAAGGGTTTTTTCCTTTATTCTTTTCATATATTTGGAAAAAAAACAAAAACAAAATAGGAAGCTTATTACGACATGTTGGTGAAATATCGGGAGGAACTTACAAGGCCGGTTCAAGAAGCCATGGATTTCATGCGCAGGATCGAATCTCAGCTCAGTTCTCTCTGTAATGGCCCAGTTCGGATCTTCAATTCCGGTAACTTTTCTACTAAATTTCTAATTTTCCTGAAAAGGGTATAAATTAAATCCTTTTTCTGAGATGGGTTTTTATTCTTTCTGCAAAATTTGTAGTTTTCCTTCATTAATGGAACCCTAATCATCATATGCCCACGTTTGGTTCTGCAATTTTTGGGTTTTTTTTTTTGTCTAATTACACTTACTTATCTTTATTTACTTGAACTGATTAAAATGGAAGCTTAATTAAGTAATTTGAGTCGAACATAGGATTCTGTTCATATCAAACGCTACCCCATGGTAGGTCCTGTCAGAAAGGAACAAAATTACTAATTTAATTTATTAACGATCTGTAAAATGTGTCATATTAAACTTTGAAGGATTTGATATTTCATTTATTCCATGCTCTTCTTGGAACTTGTAATCGCCGATTGTTGAATATTTCGTGTTCTGATTTCTTAGTTAGGCAACTTTGTGTGTATTTTGCTTGTTAGTTAATTAATTAATTAATTAATTAGTTAGGGTCTGAATATGTAAGTACCGAGAAGCATCTTCTACTGCTTCCCTAATCATTGAGAATATTTGAATTTTTATCAATAAACACCTTTTGAAGTGTTTTTGGTATCAAACTTTGATTAAAATATTCTATAAATATGAATGTTAGTAATCATAGATCTTCACAACGATATGATATTATCCAATATGAGACTCCCTCCCAATGATCCTTAACTATTCTCCCTTCGAACAAAGTACATCATAGAGTCTCTTCTAAGGCCTATGGAACCCTCGAATAGTCTCCCCTTAATCGAGGCTCGCTCCTTCTTTGGAGTTCTCGAACAAAGTACACCCTTTGTTCGACACTTGAGTCACTTTTAACTACACCTTCGAGACTCACAACATGTTTGTTCAACATTTTTTAGGATTCTATTGACATGACTAAATTAAGGGTTAAGGGCATGACTCTGATACTATGTTAGGAATCACGAATCTCCACAATGGTATGATTTTATCCACTCTGAGCATAAGCTCTCATGTTGGGATTCCTCAAAAGGCCTCGTATTAATGGAATTGTTTTCTTTTACTTATAAACTCATGATCATTCTCTAAACTAGTCAATGTGGATTCCCTCCCAACAATTCTCAACAAGATCACGTACTTGAATTCTACACAGATGAGAAGTGTGAAGGTATTGGGTCGTCAGAGGAGGAACAAGAGAATAGCGGGGGAGAAACCGAGCTACCAGAGATCGACCCGCGAGCGGAAGACAGGGAATTGAAGAACCACCTACTGAGGAAGTATAGTGGTTTCCTGAGCAGTCTAAAGCAAGAACTGTCTAAGAAAAAGAAGAAAGGGAAGCTCCCAAAAGATGCAAGGCAGAAGCTTCTTAATTGGTGGGAGTTGCATTACAAATGGCCATATCCTTCAGTAAGTTACCTCATTTATCCCTTAATCTTAACCAATCATATTCATTATGTTTGAATGAAATGATGGGGTTTTCCACAGGAGACAGAGAAGGTAGCATTGGCTGAATCCACTGGATTGGATCAGAAGCAAATAAACAATTGGTTCATAAACCAAAGGAAGAGACACTGGAAACCCTCTGAAGATATGCAGTTCATGGTGATGGATGGCCTTCATCCTTCCAATGCTGCGCTCTACCTCGACGGTCATTACATGACCGATGGCCATTATCGACTCGGACCGTGACCCACCGTCACGCTACTCAAGAAGGTTAGTTCCCTTATATCATCCAAGAAATTAGTTTGATAAATAATAATGTTGCGTGCTTCAAGTTTCTTTGTTAGAAGGTATATAACTCGACTTAGTTGATGTTTTATGGAAGTTACACAGGACGAGAGATTTTTCTTTTTTTTTTTTCCTTTTTAAGGATGTTTTGTGTTCTATTGTAGTATTTAAGATTCTGATGTTTGATAAGTGTCGAGGAATTAATAATAGAAGAGAAGTATATTTGTTATTTGTTTAAAGCTTATTATGTAGTTTGTATTTGGAACCTCAGGATTGCTGCATATGCTAATGCCTTTGCCATTTCAGCTTCCTATTTACTTCTCTCTCTCTTTTGAATTCACCAATATGGTTGCTAGGTTTTACTTACAATTTTTAAATAATTTACCCATGCAAAACTTAAATATCAAGGCGGGATTGGGAAGAGATGTCTGTTTGAGCCCATGAATATCCATCCCGAATACCCTTCCAAAGGAGGGATTTAATAGAAATTTCTTCTCGTTAACTGAATGGAGATTAAAATTATATTTTTCAATCCGGTTCTCACTTACTTTATATATATATATATATATATATATATATATTCTAAACATAAAACTAATTTATTATACATATATATTATATATTTATTTACTTACTTGGTATGGAAGACTTTGCCCGGTTGAGATGATCGACATATAGGTCAATTTTCAACGGATGTGTTCGAGCAAACCAATATGGTCAAGCTGTTTCGTGACATGAGATTGCATCATGATGTATGGGTCGCCTTATTGGGAACCAAGATTGTGTCGCACATGATTGAACATGCATGCACGAGCAATGTGTGTGTGAACAAGCTTGAATTTCGTATAAATTTTGTTTGGTTGGCAAAGACAAACCTTATCTAAGTTTTCCTTAAGGCTTGTCACGAAGAAATGCGAATTCTCTGTATAAAATTTTATTTTCTATCTCCACGAAAATAAATGGATAATTATGCCCATCCTCGGCCCACCTCCTCACCCCCTCATACAAGTACATGGGCTTTTTAATTAATGATATAATTAAAATTAGGTTGCCTAACAAGCCGCCGACGGGTGGTTAAACGGGAATTTAAGAAAGTCAAGCTTTGGGCTAATCGAGGAGGTGGTGGCCTGAGATGCATCGCAACCGCCGCCGCCGCCGCCGCAAATGGACCTCTAACAGGAAGGGCAAACGGTGAGGGTGGCGAACGGCGGAGCTGTTAATTTGAGTGATTTGAGCTCTTGAAGCTCCTTTTGAAGCCTTGTGGTCTCTTCTTTCAGCTTTTCACAGCATTTCTTCATTAATTCACAGTCCATTTCTGTTTGCTTCAGCTTGGTTCTGCATGGTCTCGGTGAATTATGCTAAATAATTAAAAATTAGAGAAATTAATTGGGTGATTAGGTACCTGGCTCTTCTATTTTGAAACCATACTTCCACTTGTCTTGCCCTTAGCTTTAAATTTCTTGCCAATTCCTGCTTTTGCTTCTGTTTAAACAAAAATTAATATATATTTTTTTTAAATCCAAAAATAAAAAGTAAAAGACAGACTTACAGGACTGAAAGTTGAGTGTTCTTTGAAGCTTTCTTCTAAATTGGCGGATTGTTCTTTAGTGAATCTAAGTTTCTTCCTCGGACTTCCATCTTCGTCTTCCTCCGCCTCCTCACCGCCGCAGCCGTCTCTCTCCCTCTTATACCCCGATGAATTTGAAAACGACGACACTGGACTTCCCGAAGAACTCAGCTGGATGAACTCGTTGGGGGATTCGACAACAATCGACAACCCCAACGATAGAGAAGGCATAATAATGTCATCAAACTTCAAAACCTGCTGCTTCTTCTTCTTTACACCGGCCATTTTTTATACTGAGTGATAGCCCAGAATGATCTGTTCTCCGCCCAAACCAAGAGGAAGCCCCTCACCCTACATTAAGAACAAAGAAAGCAATGGCAAAAAATGAAATGACATGTAAAGTTAAGGGAGTGAAATATAAAGGGAAAATGGAGGAGAAACAGAGAGGAAGGAAGCTTCTTAATGGGAAATGGAATTTTGTGACTCTATTGAAGGACCCAAATGGCTCATGTTCACGTTATTTACTCTTCCATTCTTTATTTAATTGTATAAGAAGTTTTAAAAAAAAAAAATAGTGAGAGAATATATTAATGAAAGAAAGAAAAAATAAAGAGAAATTGAAAAATAAATGAGAATAATCCAAGCTTGTAATTGACGATAGCATGCTGATGTCATATTGTAAAACGGATGATGGGGAAGGTGGGGCCCAAAAATGATTTGGGAGCATGGATAATAGATTCGAATAGATAGTGAAAGTGACAACGTCACAATCATACGTAAAAGAGAGTCGGTTGTGACTCTCATGTATTACGGGAACAAAAGTATAGTATTCATTGGACTATGTAAATGCTAAAATAGACAAGTGTCATCCAACATATCTATTATGCACACTCTTCTTGATGTGTTGGATGATACACGGTTATTTTGAGTTACATCAAAATACATTATTTGGTGCTCAAAGGTTACGGACATCTCTTCGATATTTACAAGTCCTTACTAATTGTGACATAGACATAAATACCCTTCCAATTCCAATTTATACGATAAAATATAATAGCAAAATAACTTTTAAGGAGATCCTAATGCCAGAGGGGAAGGATTTTCTCTGTCTAATCATTTATTAGGGCTTTTTAAATATTCTTAATCTTAATTATTTGTATCTCGTCTCCTTAATAATAGAAGTTAGTAAAATTATTATTATTTTATTTTATGTTCGGACATTCAGGCCCAATTATTTGGGCTTTTTTACAATCAAATTGGGCCCAATTGAACACTCTCTTATCTAGAACTCATTCGAATTAAATCACATTTACACTATTTTTATATTCATATTAGGAATTGCGGTGTTGTTTTCCTGAAGAAATTAGGGCTTAATTAAGGTACGAGTTGTGCATCATAATTAATACTGAAAAGAAGCGGACCCAATTAAAAAAATAATTATGACATTTAATCCTGCTATCCTTTTGATGGGATTCCTTTCAATTCCCCCAACCACCAAAATAATTCAATTTTGGAGTGCTAAATAATTATAAATAAATAAATAAATAAATAAATAAAACAAAATATCAACCCCAAAGACTTTAGATATTAATTAAAATAATTATAAAATTAATAACCAAGGTAGATTTGTGTTTGCATATTATGACTCAACATATATTTTTAATTTTTTATGTTAAAATTTAAAATCTAACTTTTTTTTTTATTAAAAATGTCTATAAAAATAGATTTTTTTTGGTCTCATATCACCAAATTCTCCATGTATTATTTTATTATTATATTTTAGAGATCCCTTACAAAGATTAAATTATTTATATATAAATAAAAGTAAAGCGAGATAGAGATAAAGGCAATAACGAAGACTATGTTTAGCTAAATTACTAATAAAAACGTGTGTGTTTATCATTCAAAACGATGTGTTTAATTGATGAATTTTGTTTCCATATAATTATTTGAAATTTGGTCGTCTTTTCAAATAATTCCGTCAATGAGTCTTACTTTTTAAGGTTGATTTCAAGGTCACATTCATTTTGTCGGGTTGAATACATGGAATAAAATGGTAAGGTATTCAGGTGCATGTATCTTACCATAAACCATTTGATATGGCCTATAAACACATCTAGTGAATTCCTAAGAAACCATCTCATTAGACATTAAAATTTAAAGTTCACAAATTGATTAAAGTTGAGAACATAAAACCCATTGTGTTTTTTTTTTTTTTTTTTAAATGGGTGAGAGAAATTAAACTTTATTGTAAATTTGTTTTTGAATATATGGTACTTTCATATTCATTTCATCATATCATATACCTTCTAGATAATTATTGATGCCCAAATTTAATAAACTATGGAAAATTTTGATATAATACAAATACGTAAAAGTTATATGGTATGCATGACCCTGCGAACCAACGAAAAAACAGCTCAACGTAAAGAGGGACAGCCCAGTGTGTGTATATATATATATATATATATATATATATATTTATTTTAATTATCCTATTGATTCTATGCAAAAACAGACAAGAAGAAAATCCTGTCTTTTTTATAAAAAAAATTACAAATCCGATAGCTTTTTCATCACGCACATGAATTTCCCTCCCTTAATACTATTATAACCCTCTCTCTTCCCCTTTCCCTCTCATAATTTCTGTACTTTGAACACTCCTTTCCAAACAAAGGCCATGGGAAGAGCTCCTTGCTGTGATAAAGCCAACGTGAAGAAGGGCCCGTGGTCGCCCGAGGAAGATGCAAAACTCAAATCCTATATCGAGCAGCATAGCACGGGAGGAAACTGGATCGCGCTACCTCAAAAAATTGGTAATATAAATTTATCGTAACCCATCCGCTTAAATTTATTTTTTATTAGTTTGAAATTAAATTGAAATCGATATGATTTTCTTTCAATTGGATTAGGTCTTAAGCGATGTGGGAAAAGTTGCCGACTCCGATGGTTGAACTACCTTCGTCCAAATATCAAACATGGGGATTTCTCAGAAGAAGAAGATAGAATAATTTGTAGCCTTTATATTAGCATTGGAAGCAGGTAATTTAATTTTAATAACGTTAGTGATTTTTTTTTATTTTATAAAAAATTAAAATTAATTAAATTCGATGTATCTATATAGGTGGTCGATTATTGCAGCTCAATTACCGGGAAGAACGGATAATGATATAAAGAACTATTGGAACACGAGGTTGAAGAAGAAACTATTTGGCAAGCAACAACTGATGAGAAGAGGAAGAAAAATCAAATCCGAAATTGGAAATTCCATGGCTATTGCTTTTGACAACCATCTTTATAATAACCAATCGCCTTTCTTGCCGGAGTTAACATCGGCGCTCAATTCCCCCCCGCCGCCGCCGCCGTGCGCAAATTACCAATCGCTTCAATTCCCTTCTAATTCTCAGCAACTCTTCGGCCACACCCCCGGCGGCGACTTGAGCAGAACAGACGGTTTCCAATTTGGAACAGACGGGGTCCCGGGTCTACCAATCCCAAGCCGCCACGTAGGTGAATTGGAGAAGGTCGTGTATAGCAATACGGCGTCGTTTGATAATGGTAATGTCTTGATGAACGAGTTGGATTGGGGGGAAATGAGTTCTTTGATTTCTGCTCCTTTATATCCTTCAATGGCTCATGATTTGATGATGGGTTCTTCTTTTTTAGAGCAGCAAAAACAATAGTTTAATGAAACTACCAAAAATCAAAATTATCTCAATCTGTACATTATGATTATAACCCAATTAGGTTCGGTTCTTGCTGTAGAAGTAAAACCCTAAAAGGTTTTAGACTTTATGTTATCATTATTATTTTTTTTAATATATAGTTGAGATTTCATATGTTTTCTTCATCACATAGCGAGTATTTCTCTCTTTTTTTTTTTAAGTTGATTTTAATTAATTTTAGAAAATTAGAAGAGAAATAATATATTACGACGATATGTTTGATTATATTAATCATAATGATTAATATTATATATATAATTATAAAGTAAAAGCCTGTCAAATTTGACTTTATTTACGTGTTGAAAGTTCAATCTAAGATAAAATTTATCTCCGACTTAAAATTTCATGCACAATAAATTTGTCTCTTATTAAAAGAGTAAGGACTAAGTATATAATTTATGTCAATTGAGTCATGTTATTATCGATAAGGTTTTGACTATTATAATTTCTTAAATTTGACGGCAAATACAAAAAATAATAGAGATTAAGAAAATATGCTTTTTATAAATTTAAATTCGAGTATTAGTTTAAAAAATATGAACAATTCCATGGATAAATAGCTGGGACTAAATTGTTACCGTTAATTTTTTTGTTTTTTTGTTTTTTTGTTTTTAATGGTTAGAATCCAAAAAAAATACATGAATTAAGGAGGGTTTTAGAAGGAATAAAAGTGGTAGTGGTTTCACACATGATAACTGCAGCCTAAAATTCAGAAACACAGAAAAGCAAGTGAATAAAGAAGAATTTGGTTCTGAAACGCTGTCGTAAAAGAATATCCTGTAGGAAGAACAAGCACAGCAGCTAAACGCCCAAACAGGAAGCGTCCAAGGTTCAAAGCTGAAGCGCTGATCATAAATAATTTAATTTATTAATTAATAAGATGTTTAGATTAGCCTTAAGCACCGCCAAGAGCCAAACGACGACGCCTCACGCATGTTATTCTTTGTTTACGTGATTGTCTTCAAGATTTTGTCCTGAAAAACCACTGGATTCGAGGGTCTGGCTTCCTCATTTTTACTGCAAATTTCCACTGTTTCCGAGGAGGGGAAATTCTGTTTAATTCATGGGGGGTTAAATTTAATCACTTGTCAGAAAATTTTTATGTATTATTATTATTATAACTTATCTATTATCTGGTTTATTATTATTATTTTTATTTTAAATTTATAAGCTTTTTTTTGGGACTCTAAATGGTGATTTTATATTAGCATTACTGCAGGTTTAATTTTTATCCTGCAAAGTTTTGCAGTTTCAATAAAGATTTTTTATTTATCATTTTTTTTTAGTGTATATTGATGGAAGTCTACATCAGATAATTTAAGGAATAATTTAGTACTATTGGAGTCACGAGTTTTGGGGAAACCCCAAGCAAAATCATGAAAGTTTATGTTCAAAGTGGACAATATCATACCATTGTAAAGACTCGTGTTCATCTAATACATGTATTATAATCGGTTTTTGTTATTTCAATGGAGGAAAGTTTGAAACATGGTTCAATTTATCCCTCAAATTTTATAAACCAGTGAAAAAATGTTAAGATTCACAAAACTCCAAAATGGTAGCATAAAAATTTTGGTGGTTTTGTTTTTGATTTTTCAAAAGACTTTGTAGAATTAATTACCTAAAAAACTACCCTCGGGACTTTTTTTCCAACCATCTTCGACTAACAAAACAAAATGAAGGACGTCAATGGTGCGGTCGGTGTCAATGCCACTCCCAGGCATTTGTTACTTTCTTGCATCGCTTTCTTCAAGGTTTCTTCATGCTACAAGGAATGAAACACAAACCATTCAACAGGAATCAAGCTTCAAGTAGCAACTTTATGGTCTCGGTTCCCTCTTTGATTCCATACGTGAAGCTAATTGCTTATGGCTTTGCAGTTCAAACACAGGCGTTTTCTTTGCATCCTCCTAATGGTGGGTTAATGCAAACTTTGTGGCTGTGGAGAAGGTTGTCAAGACAAAGAAATCAACCCAATGAGCAGAGCTCTTTCATAGATGAAAAACACAAATATTCGGTCATATTTGGACCTTGTGAGCCCGACATTGCACCGAGAGGCAATGCAGGCTAGCTCTAGGTATTATGTATCAGCTTCATAGTTTGCGTGGGGCCAGGGCCCCGTAGGGACCCATCCTGAGTAGAAAGGGGATTATCCATCAAGAATGAGTTAGGGAGTTGGAAACATTTGTTTCGATAAATGGGGCGGAGACGGAATTATATTACCGTCTCCTAAATTTTTTTTAATTATTAAAATATTATAATGTAATATTGAAATTTGAATTTTGCATGTGAAATTGTTAGCTTTAATATATATTTTCAATATTCTTTCCCAGAATTCAGTTCATCAAATGGATCGTTACTACGGTCCATGGGCTTTCATTGGCCCAATAGAGTTTGTGCCATTAAACCGACATGTCGTGTAGTCAATCACGATGCATTGATAAATCTCCTTTCTCCAACACGATAAATTATTTTCTAGTGAGCTTTTCGAATTTGACACGTATGAAGTTTCATGAGATTCTATGTGCGCGAGCATACACGATCGTTGCCACGTGCCGGTCGCGTTTCCGTTCCTAAATACAAAATCGCCATCCGCCAGAGCTCCCCCGACTATAAATTAAAGAAGGCGGGAATTAATGGAAGGAATAATGGCGCTCTAGACTCTGGAGTGAGAACTTAACGGTTTGGGTGAAAAATGAGGAGCGACGATTGCGATTGGCGGAAGGATAACAAGTGTTCATCGGTAGATGGACGCTTTCAAGCACCGAATTGGAGGTAACTTTGGAGTGCTTTTACATTTGGTTTGATTTTATCGGCGCCGCTCAGGCCACTACTTTCGCCGTAAGGTTTATACACGCTTACAAGAATCGGAGAATAGGAAGTTGTGGATTATTTGTATCTCTGGTCACAGTGGCTACTACTTTCGTGTGAGTCTTACTCTATTGGTATGCTTAGTTGCTTTCGAGAACCGGAGGATATGCTTTGGAGCACTTTTCTTTTTAATCTGGACTGATCGGTGACGAATCCTCCATTATTCATTGCTTTCGAAACATTCGGTTAACGTTTTCGTATGATTGATGAATGCATTCTATCTCTTCTATTCCTGTTAGAATATGGATGGATCTGTGCTTATTATTCTACTATTTCTTCCTCTTGTACACACCTTTTCAAGGAACGAGATCGTTTGCGTTTTTCTTAAGAAAGCACGATCATAGTTGACTGCCTTCTCAGTTTCAAGTAGGAGTTCGACCTATATGTTAATTGCAGTATTAGAAATTTGGCTAGTTCGTCAACTACGGAGGTCTGAGTGCTTGAGTTGAGGCTCAAGTACAGTGAACTGCTCTAAACTCTTCCTAGTCTTCCTCTTGACCTTTTATTGAGAAATCTTGTGTCGTTCTGCCTGATTCAATGTGCAATGTAGGTGAAAATGCTCATTTTCCTTTTCAAATGAAAACTTCTGCAACACAGGTTGACTAGATTAAATCGCATGTGATGCTTACTTCATATCCTGTCCTATTTAGTACTCGCGAGTGTTTTATCAAATCCTTTTCCCTTTGCCAAAGCTTGGAGTTGGCGAAGCCATCTGGCTATCCGGTGAAGATTTCAATGTTTTGTTGCATCATTTTTGTGTTGCTTACGGTTGTTGAAAATAAAAGTTTATGTATATATATATATATATATATATATATATATTCCTTTCTTTGTTGTTGGCAATGGATGCATTATTCATCCTGTAATAAGTTTAACCTACTGAACGGTCTACAATATTTGCTTCGTGACTTGTACACAAATATACAACTACTTAGAAGCTTTCTATTCTCCAAATTCCCATGCTTTTCCTTGTATCCCAAGGAAAATACTCTGACCTACGTTTCTGTAACTATAGTTGAATCATTTCTCTGCATGTGTGTGAAAATTTCTAGGATTTGACTGTCCAGAAACCGTTTCCTTAAAAACTGGACTGATCGCTAAATTTTAGTCTGTCACATTAAGTTTTCTCTATGGCTGTGTTGGCAAAGTCTGATCTCTATTTAAAAATATAGCATTCGTTTGGCTGATGATACTATTTATAGTTTCTATTCTTGTTGAGCGATGTAGTGAGATTGTATTTAACAATATGAACATAGGTCAGAGTATGATATAATAGTGAAATTGGTAGTCGATATCTCGAGTATAAGTTGATGAAAGCTCTTGTAGGAATAGTTTTAATAATGAATGACTGCATTAGAGATCCTTTTAGTCAAATAGACTTGAAATGCTTAGTACTTCTAATGGGGACAAGCTACTTATTTATGACCATTGCACAAAAAGAAGATCAGGCCACTATCATCTAGGGTAGGAGAAAATGCTAGTTCTTTTCAATCAAAATTTCGGTAGGAAGGGAGAAAAAGGTGTAGTGGCTATGTGCAGAGGAGTATGAAGAACTAGGGAGTGGTGAGTTACTGTGCTTCACATTTTTATTTTAACCTAGAAGGCCTTGCCAGATTTTGTCTTTTTCAAAAAAAGAAAAAAAACAAAACAAAACAATAATCGTCTTTTTATTGGTATTAAGAAATAGAAGCAGAGATTTAGAGGCATCAAAATCATTTCACATTTTAATCTCAAACTTACGAGGCCTTAATAGTTTTTTTTTTTTTTTTTTTTTTTTTTTTTTTTTTTTTTTTTTTTTTTTTTTTTTTTTT